CTGCAGAAAAAGAACATTTTAACACTTAAGATTTCATTTCGAATTAAATCAATTGGATAAATATTTTGTAACAAAAAAAAAAAAAAAACTCTGCATGCTCCAATGAGGAAAAAAATCATTGGAGAAGCATATTAAGGATGCCAAGTGGATCAAAGTAGCCTAAAAAAACACACAAGGAAACAGTAGAAATGTTGTGATAATCTAATGGAAAGCTATTCATGTATGGAAAACTTACCACTTCCTTTGCTGCCTTCTAAATCTTATGGAATAGTTCAATTTAATAACCTCATCATTTTCAGTATCAGAAGTATCCTCTCCATCAAAATTAAGAACAATGGGTTGTTGGTCAAGATTAGTTCCATGTTGTTGTAAAACTTCTTGCGGAATGTTCAGAATTCCTGCTTTAGCTTGCATCTGATTTAAATGGGCGGTTTCAGTGTTTTGACTAGAGGGATTGTCACTGTTGTAATCAGGGCCATCTAAAAAAGGCTGGGCCAGCTCTCTCTCAGATAGGCTGTCCTTTACCACCACTTCTTTGCTTTCCTTTCCCAAAGTTGGGATGCATAATGTTCTACTGTGAACATTTGTCTCATCTTCCAGATATGGTGTGTTAACATCTCTACATGAAATAGAAGTCGAACTAATAAACTCATCACTTTCAGTATCAGAGGTCACCTCCCCATCACAATCATGAACAATGGGTTGCTGGTCAGGATTAGTTATATGTTGTTGTAGAACTTCTTTCTGAATTCTTTCTTCATCTTCTCTGTGATTTACTACATGGGTAGTTTCAGTGTTTTCACTGGATGCATTGTCAATGTTGTAGTCAGGGCTGTCTGATAGTTGGGCCCCTTGCTTTTCAGGCTCTCTCTCAGATAGGTTTACCTTTACCACCTTTTCTTTGCCTTCCTTTCCGATGGTAGCGATGCTTACTGTCCCACTGCAAACATTGGACTCGTTTTCCATAGATGGTTTGTTGACATCTATACATGATATGGAAGGCCCTGATTGTTGTTCATTGGCTAGATTTCTTTGAAACTGGCAATCAGAAACTCTATTTTGACTTCTTGTATTTCGTTCTCTCTCTTTCAAATGCCCATTCTCCTGCATTCTGATGCAATTTGCCTCATGCTTCATACTTTGAGTACTGATATCTCTACAAAATGTAGAGGACTCTGGTTGTTGTTTATCAGCTACACAACTTTGACACTGACGACTTAGATCTTGTCTGTTTTGACTTCTTGTATTTTGTTCTTTTTCCTTCAAATTCCCACTCTCCTGAATTCTGAGTAAATTTGCCTCATCTCCTACACAGTCTGTTAACATCTCTGAATGACATTGAGGGCCCAGACTGTTGTTTATCAACTAGACCTCTTTGAAACTGACAATTAGCATCTTCTCCATTTAGATTTGTTGGATTTTGCTCTTTCCTATGTCCCTCAATAAGTTTCATTGAACAATGCTCAAATACATGAATAAATGCAGGTAGTTTCCTCCTTGCCAAAACGGTCTTTCTTCTTAGCTTCAAGATACTCTGAAATAGAAAGAGAATACACACAAAAAGGGCAATGCAAGTTGCCCTTATCTTAATCCTTTTTCATTTTTATAGACAAAATGATTAAGTTTTTGTAATAAAAAGAATTATATCCTGTGCAGGTTGTGTTTTCATCAAACCTAGAGGAGCTGCAATTGTGCCCCTCCTTCGGTAGCATTGTGTTCAGAAGGGATGATACAACTCCTCCTTCCAAAACTAAAGAGGTTAGAATTGGGAGACTTGCCCCAATTGAAGAGCATCCGTAGCAAGAGGGCAGCAATGGTATGTGATTCTCTTGAATGGATTATAATTTGGAATTGCTATAGCCTAAGGAGGTTCCCTCTTTATCTTCCTCTGCTGGAAAATGGACAACCATCTCCTCCTCGTTCCGTCAAACAAATCGTAGTATGGCCACAAGAATTGAGGGAATCGTTAGAGTGGGACCATCGCAATGCAAAGGATGTCCTTCTACACTTTGGTGAATTAGTGGCACTGATTTTCTTTAATCGATGAAGAAGATGAAGAAGAAATCACCTAATGTCACTCTGAAACTGTTCATCTTCACCATGGCTCCTCTAATCGATGTGGAAAAGGTTCATCTTCGGTTTGGCCTATTTTTATTTATAGAAATTGTTAATTCATGAACTGCAAAATGAGATAAAAAGGAACATGGACGAAGTATGGATTAATTAACTGACTTCTTTTTGTTGAATCAGGAAGCTGAGATATCCGCCTCTATCTCTTCATGGGCATCAAGGAATTTGGATACTTCTCAAAAGAGGGGCTCCGCAATTCTCAATTTGTAGTGAGTTGTGTGTTGTATCATTTTCTGTAACTGGTAAGAGTGCCTGCCGCCAATCTTTTGTTTTGGGTTTTCAATCATTAATGTTTTGAATCAGTCGAATTGATAATTGCACAACTTCCTCAAGGTTTTGCTATTCAAAATGCCATAGCTTTGAATTGCCCAAATACCAACATGATTTATCTTTTAGCTGAATCGTGGAGTTCCAGTTGCTGTTACAAATTACAATGGTCTATTTAGTTAGGTCTTCTGGGTCCTGGGATTTTTCTGAACTCAATTGTATTGATATATTGTGTGTTGGATTTGAGTTGTACTCATGCAACCAATGGAAGTTTGTGTTTCTTGTAGATGCCAGATTAGTCATTCTATTTATAGGAATTTTGGGGGGGAAATGCAGTTGCCTAATCAAATAACTTGTATCATTGTTAGTGAAAATAAAGAGAAAAAATGGAAGAAAAACAAAAAACATGACATCATATGTGGCCCAAAAAGTAAATTAGTAATGCTTGAGCTGGATGGTGTTTTGTCTGCCTGATCATGACAATCTGTTATAGGTTCTGGTAAACTGGAGATTGGAAATGATGAATTTCCCATTTTTTGGGCAATGCAGTTTGGCACCCATGGCGTAGCCATATTAAAACTGAACATGGTTGATTCAGGAGCTCTTGGACAAGGTGCAGTTTACTGGCTAAAGGTAATTGTGGCTTTTGAAAGACATTTGGGTTATTATGAAGTTGATTTTGTTGTTCCTAGTTCTGTGTGATTCCCCTGAACTCTTGTGCTGCTGATTTTATGTGCATGTTAAACAGGATTCTTTAATCAATGTTGCTTTTGATAACATCCAAGAAGAAGATTTAAACAGTCCGTTACATCTAGAAAAAGAGTCAAATGGGGGGTATGCTGTTAAAATTCTTCAATAGCTTCTCTCGCTTCTCATATTGGCTTTAATTGTTATGTGAGGTGGACAATGATTCCCTTGTACTGATGATGTGTTTTAGTGAGCTTGAATTCTGGTCATTTCATCTCAAGTGGCCTTTCGGTGCTCTATTCTGAACTTCATAGTGTGAACCTTAGAGGAATCTAACTGAAGTAAAACGTCGATTTATATTGTCACATAGAAGTCAAACTGAGTTGTGATTCATATTGTCACGTCTTTGCAAGACTGAATATAATGGAACTAGTATAGAAGGGTCAGTACCACACTTTCTTCCCTATGATTGATTCTGTAATCAATTTTATTACTATGTTTTACTTATTTAAGCTTGGAAAAAAATCCAAATTAATTTGCTGTGCAGGTTACATCCTAGGATGAAGGATGCCTTTATAGAACTGAGTAAAGCTTTGCTATCAGTACCTGCTGCTGATCTAGTTCCTTCTTGTTTGGAGAGAGATTGCCAACATTGTCAAAGAAGGATGTGATGTTAGGCCCTTTTAACTTTAACCTTTATCACTATCAGGTTTGTAAGTGCTTACTTTCTTTGTGCTTTTTCTTCTCAGATGACTAATGTTTACCTTTTCCTTTTCCCTTTCTTTTTTCTGTGGTTGAATGCATTCCTGGTAGCCTTATACATATCTGCTACTATATATAGATGTCTCCAATTTAGTAGGTCTTTATTATTCATCTTCAAAATGAAGGCACCATCGATTTCTGCTTTTTCCTAGGTCCTAACTTAATTTAATTTCACTTTACCAAGAAGGATGCCATTTCAAAAGCTTTGTCAACGAAGGATGTATTTTTGCTGCATGGACCTCCTGGACCTGGGAAAAGTGCAGCTGTAGTGGAAATTATCATCTTACAAGAAATCAAGCATGGCTTAAAGATTCTTGCTTTTGCTGCTCCTGATATTGCTGTTTTCTTTTTTTTCTTTTTTTTTTTGGTATGCCTTCCGATATTGTTGTTGACAACATTGTTGAGTGACTTGATTCCCTCTGGCAAAGTATGAATTAGTATACAAGAAGATATACCTGCAACTAACCTTAGTGCTAACCTATTAAAGGGAGAGTTTTTTGTAAATAATTGTGCTTTATATTATTTATTAAGGGTCCCATAGTTCTGGTTCAGAGACAACCTGAATGCTAAAGGAACATATTCTTTGAGCACATAAGAACCACCAAAAATTGAACTATATATTATCTGGTTCTGTTCGAGCTAATAGGTTTCAGCAGCTTTCTATTTTTCAAAACTTTGAGCTAAACAGTGTTTGTTTGGTTGAGTTTCACTAGTAAGTTCTTTTTTCTGAGTCCATAAAGACCGGAATGAGTTTTCATCAAGTACTGGCCTGGGTAGTGCCATAGCTAATAGGAATTAAAACCATGTGGCTCAATCCATCTTTTGCTGGAATGTGAAATTTGTTTACTTACCTTTCAACGACAGAAGAACTCTTTGGCATTTTGACTATGGATGACTTTGATTTTCTTTCCTTTCTTGTGGAACTGTAGATATTCAGATAAATGGTACTAGAAAGACATTATGAGCTAAACTGTCATGTCATGCACTAGTTATTTTCTTCTTGGCTTACTAGTTTGGTTTCCTCTTGTGCGTAAGAGTACATTATAATTATTTCTTTATTTTTTAAATTTTTTATTATTAGAGTGAAGGAGGTGAGGCTGGAGTACGTTTACTATCCTCAAGTTTTTGTCAGTGCACTTGATGCACAGGTAAACTGTATTATTTGGAAAGGAGAATTTGAACAATAGGTTTTTTATCTTAATGATAGTCTTCAGGCACGGTTGTTCATCCCCATAATGTGAGCTTCATTTTGTTATCAAATTTAGCCTTCTTAAAAGTCTCTCATATTCCTATACAACATAGTAACATCTTGGTCTATTTATTTCCAGCTACAAACTGTTCTGTCTAGAATTCCATTTTCTTGGGTAAAGCACCACATTTAAATTCATTCAGGACATCTTGAAGAAGCTTTCAAGTCAATAAATTACCACCTTTTAACTTCCATCTGCAGTATCACCAATACAAATCCTTGGAAATTGAACCCTGTTCTGTACTTAATTCATTTTTTCAGCACTGGAACTGCAAATCATATAACCTCATTTTCTATGTATTTAATGATGCAGCTGCTGTGTTAACAACTTAGGTGCATCTTCTTGCAAGCTGGAGAGTACTTCATTTGGTTTGGTTATTATTCATGAAGCTGCTCTGTCACTTCAAATAGCATCCTGGATGGCTCTCTACTAAAGGTAACGAGGCGCTCAAAATACATATAAAGCACTTTCTCGAGCGTAATCATAGAGGCACACAGTCACAAAATTAAGTTCAAGGTCTGGTTGTAATATATTTCACTTAGCACTGTCGCTTCCATGATTTGCATCCTTAAATTCAATTTTGAGATGAGAGTTGAACTTTGAAACCGAATGAACCCCAATATAAAAGAATTGACTGTTAGGTAGTTTAGTTCCACTTGTGATGGTTATTGCTTTTGTGGGTTTCAAGATGTATCCTTGCTGGAGACCATCTTTAGCTTCTTTCAATCATCTAGAATGTTGAAGCTGAGAGGAAAGAGTTAGAAAGGACCTTCTCTGAATGCTAGGCACAACTTCTATGGAGATGTCATCATGCCCATGCTCCCTGTCAATTACACCATGCATGAGCTTATATTGAATTGGTCATCCAGAGAAATTTACAAAGGTAAGGTGCTGGAATATTTCAGTATGATGGATTATAGTCTAAGATTTATTGTTAAATAAACAATAGTAATTTTTCTTGATCATCACATATCAAAGGCCATGCAAGTGTTGCTGCACAGATACTTTCTTCTCTTGAGAATGTGAAGACAATGACATGATGTCTTCTACGGAGCCAATCCTTCTTCTTTGATTCATCTAGGTACGTAACTAGTTTCTGAAATTTCTGAATATTATGTGTTGCCTTTTTCATGACTAAATAAAAATAAATCTGAATCCCACCATTTTACTTGTATCATCCTTTGGAGGCTACTTTCTGTATGAGTGAACTCTGTAAACGATATTTGTTTTATGAAGTCAAAGTGAAACTGTTTTATTTAAATATAGGTAAGAATTTTTGGTTTGTCAATGTAATGCTCAATTGACATTCTACTCCACAAGAAACATATCTCAAATGTCAAAAGGGATACAAAAAATGGTATTGTTAAATGCCACATGGCATTGTAATTATGCAACATTATGTGTCGTTTTATAATTAACTCGTTTCATTCAAGGTCCACTCATAATATTATATGTATTCATTTGTTTGATGCTACGTCATATTTCACTTAATGCTGCATGGGATTGTAAGTTAATTTGTAATGAAAGCAAAATTTCCTAGAACTTAGTGGTGTATCCTAGTGACATTGTAACTATAACATTACCGAAAGGGATAATATTTTAAGTTGATTGGCTTACTTATGGTTTAGGGTGTATCCTAGTGACATTGTAACTATAGCATTACCAAAAGGGATATATTTTAAGTTGATTGGCTTACTTATGGTTTAGGGAGGCTGGCCACTAAGTTCTAGGAAATTTTGCTTTCATTGTAAATTTGTAAAAGCTGATGTTTGTTTGCTTTAAATTAGATGTATCATGGAAGAAAAGAAGGATGAAGAAGATAGGACACTGAATGAAGGCGAAGCAGAGATTGCTATTTCACATGCAAAGAGACTTGCTTGCTCAGGGCTTAGTCCAAGCTTCCAATATTGGAATTATTACCCCATATGTAATGCAGGTACTATGGAGTATACCTGGTTGATAGAGTGAGACATAAATTAACTAGATAATTAGATGTCCTCCCGCTTCATCCATTCATTCCGTGAAATGACCAATACATTGATGTTTGTTCTTTTAAATTGCAATTGTATTTCAGGTTCTATTACTAAAAATGTTGAGAAGCAATGAGAGCTGGCTAATGGATACATCAACTGTGAATGTAGCTTCTTCTTGGTCCACAACGCAACTTCATACAACTAAATGCAAGACAGATGCTTCTTACTGTTCTAGAAGTGGCAGATTGGTCTACCAGTGGTTATGAGGGATGCTGGAGGACAGTTTATAGATTGGCATAGCTATTCAACAATGTACCTTATCTGCCCTCTCAGAAGAGGCATATGCTCTTCGTCTTGCAGGGGGTAGGGCAACGGTAAATGGTTTTCAAGAGTCATTTTTGAAGCAGGAAAAATTTAGCTTGGCAAATTGCTTCCGTTGTGGAACCCATATGGAGTACTCTGCTGCCAGGCTTTGAACGGTTTGATTTTGTGTTTGTGCCTGGAATAAGCTAACAAAGCTACTCAATTGGGTTGCTATTGGGCGCACTGTCTACCCGTGGAATTTTGTAAACTATTGTGTATAGATGTTGCTAAGAGCTAGAGAAAGTAAGGCCTTTTGAAGTGGTCCAATTTACCATTGGGCTTGGACTGGAAAGTTGAAAAAGTCTGTACGCTTGTTGTCTACTTTTGGAGGTCACTCGGGTCAGTAGGGGTGAGCATTTTCAGAATGACTCCACAGGAGTAATGACTCCACGGAAATCGGTGCCAGAGTTAGAATTATTTTTCAGAGTGACAAATAGAGGCAAAAGAAAATATATTTTTTAAACAATTATTACAAATAATTTTTTTTTATGAAAATAAATAATATTTATTAGTCTTTATTAATAAATTAATAATAATTATTGAAGTAATCTAAATGTCATTAATTGAAAGATACAATGAACATATATAATAAATAAATAAATACTATTAAAAA